GTACTTCAGTTTAGTGCAGTAAACATAGCCTCATTGCAGCGAAAAAGGTTCTTTAGCTGTTACTAGAGACCACGGAATCTCAGCTAGCACAGAACCGGCGCCTAAAAAAAGTCAGAACACAGATGCACCCATCAAGAATGTTAACGAAATCAAACGATATTTCCAAGAAACAGAACCAGCGCCATCCATGACGGGAGTTAATTTAAAGAAATCTAGGGTAATTGGGACAGGCTTAGAGAACACAGAAAACATTGCACTCCCGCGGGAGACTGCAAAACACGCTCGAACTGTGAAGGATTCTGAAAATGTTGATGACAAAGTGAAAATGGATATGTTTGGAGTGAACAACAGAGATTACTCCCCGGAACAGCTAAGCGCGCAAGAAACGAAAGAACAACAGCATCGTGACAACCGGTGGCTCGCTACTGAATCGGTATATATCTCGAATGAAAATAACCGTGAGACAAGTGGAACGTCGCCGCGAAAAGTCGAAAAAACGTTTGGAGAGATCCAGAACGAAAATATTGACACTGATTTTACTAGGAACGCAGTTCTCAACAGCTTACCAAATAGCTCGGATCAACAGTCAGAAAAAACGCTGAACAGTGTGCGAACAGCCGAGTTGAAAAATAATCAACAACCCGAACAAATAACAGAAGATAAACTGGAAGAAGTACGAAGTGACCCTGCAGCCAATTTAGTATCTGAGAACAGAGATTACGAAAAGAAAATGTTACAAAACTTAAAGGCTACTCAACTTTACGATGCAAATACAGAATCGAAAGTCGAGAAGCCTTCAGAAAGTGAAGCGTCCGAGAGTTCCTCAAGTAATGCACCAACTGATAAAATGATGGTCCATCGGCACGAGAACGGGAAGTTAGCCGGTGACCCAGTTGAAGCAAGTGCAAGTACGAGTGAGCCGCAGCTGGTAGTTACTAGTAATTTCAAGGATAACGGACAGAAGGAAGTCATGGATACATTAAGTGGTACGCACAATGATGGATCGACACACTTGAATGTGCAAGAAAGTCTGGAGAGAGGAGGTAAGGGACAGGAGACTGGAACTAGTGCGGGCCAGGTCATGTCGCCTACATATGACGAGACGCCTTCGGTAGAACAATCACATTTTGAAGATGGCAAAGAATCTGACAGAGGGGATTTAGAAACTCAAGGCGCCTCTCTAACTGAAATAGAACAGGCCCCAACCGATTCTGCATTTTCTAATAATACGCGAATTGTTGGAAGTGTAGCTAAAGGGAATGGAGACGAGCTCTTTTCAAAAAAAGGAAGAATCGGAGGTGGAATTGTGGCTTCGGACATGGATGCTTCTGCGGTCGATCTGGAAAAGGCCGCTGTAGCCAAGCAGAGCAGTGGTCTAGAGACAACTCGTCACGGAACAAGCACTGGCGACGAAAGTATATCCACTTCTCTCTTAAATAGCAGGACATCTGATGTACTTGGAGAACCCATGAAAGGTATTACTGATAAGCATACCCATAGTAAGATTTAATTTTCGGTCATTTACAGAAGATGGTAACAAAAATTCAATGTACAGTTATGAATCTTCCCATAATTCAATTGATTCTTCCCCTGCCACTATTGAAGCAGCAGTCGAGGTTAAAGCAGTACAAAGTGATACAAGGAACAAGGTCTTCGGGCAATCAGTTACGGACGAGTACAATAAGAATGTAATGAGTAAGCCAAGGATTTTTATAGTTCTAACTTTATAGTTTACATTAGTAAACTTGCTGAAGACTCGCTCATTAAGGTTAATTGCTACTTTAAAAACTCATTGAGACGACATTTACAAGATAGTTTGAAAAGGTGGAATCCTGTGTTCGTCACGTGGCCAGAAAAAATAAGATAAACTGAGCCACTGTCCTTCTTGAACTTCTCTTAAACTATTGATATTTTGCAGAAAAGGGACCAGAAGTAGAAGGAACACTGGATGCCGGAACAGTTAAGTCAGTACAAAGAGACATCCAGTCTTACAAGCTTTCGGAGGAAAAAAACGACGAAATCAACAAGCAGATGACCGTCGACAAGAGTGGCACATTCAGCGAAGTCGATCTACAGTCTAAAAAAGCGATGGAAGGACAGCTACACCCTGGTGCGAGTGATACATCTGCAGCCAGTGAAATAAAAAGCGGGTTACGGAACGAAGGGTTGCCAAGCACAAGCGTTAAACAAGAGGTTTTTAGCGAAGAGTCTAAAAGCTAGTTGGAAAGACAAAAAGTAGACGCCACATCTTCTGAGTTTAAGGTGGAACCAAGCACAATATCTGAAAAAGAATAAGGGATGACCCATGAGTTTGACCAAATTTAATCCTTTTCGGATTATGGCTTCGAGTGACCTAGTTCTAGCACTGCTGGTAAAAGCCCCTTAACCTTCGTAGTAGCCGACCAGTCTCTTTCAGAATCAAAATTGAAAATCAAAGGACATATCGTTACTCGGATCTCGCATTAGTTTTTCAAGAACTTATTTCGACTCGAAACGAGGAATATGAAAACCCCTTAAGTCAATCTGCGGTAATCTTTAAGAAATTTCGATACTAGGGTCAGAGGAAAATAGTAAGCTGTTCCAGTGATTCTGCAGTTCATCATTCCCTTCATGTCTTGCGCTATCGGTGGTTTCTGTTGGACTTGGTTCCTAAGTGGCGTGGTGGGCTCGTTATATTGTTTGTAACTTGAATTGTTGTCGAAAATGGCTTTTTTTTTTTCTTTTGAGCACGGAGCAAATATTTATTGTCTCTCGCCTTTACCGGGTAATTTGAGGTGTCGCATCTTGTGATCCTCTGCCACTTTGCGTTAAATGGTCGTCCGACGACTTGGTCACCAATGAAAAGAGTGCTCACTTATGGGTCTGCGTTGTTGCAAACTGCGCTTTGTAAAAATGTTGTATTGTTTGACAACTCTATAAAAAAGTCCCTTTATAGTTCGATCTTCAACAAAACGCAATAAACTATACGACATTAGTAATGTATCTGTAACTGTCTTTCTCACGGGGAAATCGAGAGTTGCTCCTTCCCAAGCACTCGGATTAGAGTACAATACGGAGTTCTCGCTACAGTTCCTGATGTAATTCTGGTTTGCTTCCATCGTGATTAGCCTATGTAGCTAACTGTTAAACCAAAGAGCAAAGTATTAAGAAGTACACTGGTAAGGCGCGTATAAAGAGGAAGTTCTTATCAGCTAGATACTTCTCAGGCACTCGTAGAGTGCACAGCTATTTTAAAATTACAATCTTTAGACTTCTCGCCCGCTCTGGAGCGCTTTGGATAAGGATTTAAACATCATCAGAGAAACACTTGACAGGATGAACAAAAACTAGGCTTTTTAAGAGCATAATCTACCTAAGTTCCGTTACTGATTTGCAGGGTCAATATCTCCACTAGAATGACGCTGTCTTCTGAAAAGATAGTGAATCATAACTGAAAACTAGAGTAGCTTAATTTGAATACATAATAAAACACCAACTTGGCTGCACTTGTTCGCCTTGGTTGATTCTGCCCCACTTCAGTTCTCCCACTCGCATTCTAAACCAATAACCATTTAAACTTTAAATGCAGAGTGGGAATGAAGCACAACCAGACAAATTAACTACCACATCTCAAACAGTAGTGTCTCTAGTTATGCAGCAGAAATAATTTGTGAAGCTGACGACACAGCAAGCCCTAAAGCCGTCCAAAAAACTTGTGTGATCCAATTTGATATTTAAAATAGAAACTAAAAGTTTCAAATGCCAAAAGTTTGTTTTTGAGATAGAAGACAAAAAAAAACTTTTCCCATCATTTTTCAGACCAACGACAATATTAACACTACTTCTTTAAACCAAACAAAAAAATCGCGTAAAACCGCAGAGCTGTGTGCTTATATATATCGAATTCTAGTAACCGAAAATTGACCGAAAATGAGGAAGCAGCTTGCAGAACATCTAAAAAAAAAATGACTGCTACTAATACAACTGAAAAAAGACCTTTGGAGCCGTTAACCTGAGTTTTCAAAAACGCCAGACAGAAAATGATTAAACCCTTTAAATGACTCTTGAAAGAAACAACAAATTTCCCTCATCTGCACAAATTTAAAGTGAAACTTACCTCAGCCTTTTTAAACCGATTTTGTTTCGTTCGTCTGCGTTGTGTATCGGTACGGCCGAAAGTATCAGCCCCTCTACTAGAAGTAGTGTTCAAATCTTTGGAAGAACCAAAAACTTCATTTTCAACACCTCGACTCGTTCCAGCACCAGTGGCAACGTTCTGCAGCGAAATGAATCTGGTTAGACACAACTTTTATAAAAAGCCTACCTGAATTTCCAATTGCGTATATCACAAAAATTAGGAAGAAAACTTATGAACACATATGTTTTTAATAAAAAAATACTTCGCACGGCGCAGTAGAAACAACTTGACTGGAAGTTGCTCGGTGTCTCCTGTGACGGGGATGCAACGACTTCATTCTGTACGCTCTTTCTTTCAGAGAAGAACGAGAAAGCTTCGACTGAACAAAAAAAATTAACTTACTGCCAACCAAAAATTACGTTTGTTGTCTTACGATACAAAACCGTTCAAGCAGCACCTGTGAAGGAGACTGCTCCACACGGGTCTCCGTCGTGCTTTCTTCTCGCTGCTGTGCTCCTTCAAGTACACTGAAAAAAAAATTGAATTAAACAAAAATTTTTCAGGCCCTGTTTTATTTCAGCCTACCATTCCTAAAACAAAACATTTTAGTACTGGCAACCTCATTTCTCGTTTTTAGAATCTCTATAAGTTACGAAGTCATCTAACAAAGTATCAGCCACTTATACAGACCCTTTTTCAAGGGCCAAATCCTTAGTGGCTCGTTTGCGGGTAAGTATGCTAAAGAGTCTCGGGAAACAATTTCTCGTTTCACAAACCCTGAACAAACCAGTTTTGATTATGACTGTTACACTTGGCACCAACGACTTCACGTTCTTTGTTCTTTTTTCCTAGAGCTCCATTTTAAACCTAATTTTCGGCACCAACAAAGTTTATCTGTCATTTGAATGGTAGCTTATTAGTTTAGCCATGCACGATCTGGCCGTGAAATAAAGAAAGCTTTGTACCGTTTTAGCGGCACTAAACCATATTACGCATCTAAAATTTCTTAACAGCCAAAACGTATAGGGGTCACTTCGGCAAAAATTCAGAGCTTCTATTTACAGACTGATGCTCGTTAACATAACCCCGCACTTCTAAAGTTACAAGTGCAGTTGACAGATTGTACATTTATTTCCCTAAATTTTAAAACCATTTCTTCGCCTGAACAAAATACTCTATCAACTGAGCAATGTCGGTGAACATCTTCTCTTAGTTTTTAAAATTCTTTAATAACTCTTATCGGCAGCTTAAAACTAATTTTTTAACTGCACACCAGAGATTTGACGAGTTTGACAGAGAATTACTAAAATGAGTTTATATACTTGTTTAATGTAGATCCTAAAACACTGGCTCAATAATTTTCCGCACCCTCTCTAACTACAGCTGATAAACAACAGAATAAAGCTGAAAAATTTAAATGAGTCCTATGCTATAAAAGTAAAAATTTGAAAATTAACTGTTAAAAAATAACACTGAGATAATTACTGGTATAAGTTACAAAAACGCCGAATTTTGGACAGTGGTTAAGCAATTATCACTCCCCACATCAATGAAGAGGTCGTTTTATAAACACTACACTCTGAGAAACTAGTTAAGTTGAATAAAGAATAATTATTTGCAGTGACTTACTCTTTGTAAAGATCAATGACACTGTGTTTTATAACGCCGACTAGAGAAGTTTCAAATGCCACACATTCTCGTTTCGCGCTCTGATATCTGTAGAAACGCTATCTCAACATTTTGCACGGTCAAAAAGTTATCAACTTTAGAAAGTCCCTATCACTGAAATAGGGAATGAAAATACTAATCCTTCCAATTCCAAAGAAGCCGTAATACGACAATGCAGCAGTGCCGAAGGTAAGCAACAAAAAGATGTAGTAAAGGAAAAAAGGGTACAAAAAAAATACCGTTTGTGAATGAGATCTGTCTGTGTGAACAATGGGTCGTTGGCAAATGACTTCAACAAACTAAGCTCTTCAAAATGCGGCACTATCCCCTCATCCAGTAGACTACTGTCAAAACGCCTATGAAGTAGTGGGTTGTGCTGCAAGAATAGAACAAGGAATCATTAAAAAAATGGCAGATTAAACATGCCATAAGTAATTACCAAACATGAAGTACTTCTCAAGATGTGAAACGCTTGAAACTATCCAAAAACATTTGTTTAGCACCTCAACAATAAAAAATTTTGACTTTTTAAGCCGCCCCGTCGTTATGCTTAATTGCTAAAACTCAAACCGTTCGCTTTCCCTCTTCAAAAAAACAAGACTTCAAAATTATATCAAAAAACTTCAAAACTGTACCAGCATTACAAGGTTTTCAATCAATTTTTAAACAGCTTACTATCACTCCTAGCTCCTTAGGAGCAGACAAAGGCGTTCAACGAAAAACCTTGGTTTAAGTCAAAGTTTCCAAAATCTTCCTTATAATCTTTTAGAGTTCTTCTCAAGTGGCCCTCAGAAAAACTCATATTTATGATTAAGAAGAACCTCTTTCTCGTAAGCTACAATGCTGAAAGCGCCAAATGCCACCAGTCTAAAATATGCTAATATTGCATCATAGTAGCATCCAGGAAGGAGAATTTCTTCAAAAAATGTTGTGAGATCGTGAGCTTGTTCCGGAGTAACCCGTATTTCGGAAACATAATTTCCAGGCTGCACATAGTACAACGAGTAAGTTAAATACAAGCCAAAAATCCGCTTCTAAACTGTGTAATATTAATATCTTAAAAGCTAATAATAATTGCTTTTATAGTAAATAACATTAATCTGAAACTGTTTCGTCAACTCAGTGACCACATTAAAATACCGCCACACATTCAATTCTAAAAGACTCAAACCATTTACCTGCAACGAAGACTCGCCACTATCATTCACTGCATTTGCTGAATCAACAGCATCCCTGACATAAGTTACCGGATGACGTTCCCGAAACGACATAGCATAAGAAATAGCCATTTGAAGCAATTTCTCACTAAACTAAACAAAAAAGAACGAAAATTATAAAGGCCTAACGGTCCTGCTTAACAGTTTCCCGTGTACCCAAGAGAATTCATTTCACTTTTCAACGTATACGATAATAGTATAAGAAGAAAGTGAAAGCTCCGAAAGCTCACCTCTACCAATTCAGCACCACTGATCCGTCCCATAAATACAGTGAAAAAATCAACTTTACGGAAGCACTTCGAAAATGCATCAAAAGATAACGATTCTTCCTTTTTAAAAGCTTCTAACAAATTCTCAATATCCCTTTTACAACCAGCATTCAACGGTATCACTGTCGAGCCAAGAAAACTATGCACCATTTCAAGCGAATACCAAAATGAGATAAATACAAGCCTAAAATAAGAAGTGCCCAACATAATAAAAAAAATGCGGTTGCAAAATGCTTGCACTATCTATCACACCATCCGAACGACATGGAAACCGCACTGTAAAACGCCAAAGGGATTAAAGCAACATGTTAGTAACAGACCATTAGAAAGTTAGGAAAATCTACTACAAACAAGTCTAAAACTAGCATAATGAGTTAGGCGGCATTGACAACCTTGCACAAAAGATGAAATCAGACAGACGGTCAAAATAGGCACTTTTGGGGAGTGAGCATGCAGTAACTGCAACAGCGCCAACAGAATAATGTATGAATCGTATTTCAGAGAATAATCTTAAAACACTCATCTCGACATCCGCGCAATGACTGAGTAGTTGACTTTCACAGAGCGCCACGAGTCGTTCAAAGAAATTTTGGCTGGATTTTCAAGTCGGAAAGACAGCCCTGTTCGTTGAAACGGTAAAAAGGATCAAAAAATCAAGTTTGACTAGAATCATCGCCTTGTTAAAATCCGCAAAATGGTTCTCATCAAGTTTCCAAAAAGTCTCAATTCAATCGTTTCCCTGCTCTCGCACTTCGTAAATGCATGTGCACTCATAGAAGCGGGACTGTACCTAGGAGCTATGCGTTGTTTGATTAATTCTTAAATGGGGCTTCAGAAACACACAAAAACTAGGCAATTTTCGACCATCTCTTCTGCATTTTTGTAAACTTCAAAAGTTTGTCAAATCTTGCTTCATCCCAAGGTGGAAATTATTCAAAATGAAAAACAGAAATGTTTGACAAGGCACCGGGCGTCCTCTCCAAATCTTTGTGTTTTCTGGTGAGAGTCAAAATGAAATCTCCGGTATCGGTTTCTACTGTCGTAACATATACTATAACTGGGATGCATTTCAGTCATAAGGTTGCCACGTACCCAATACCTTCCTGCCATTTCGTTTGCTCGGAAATCTACCTTCGCTTTTACTTCGTAAGCTTTCTTGTATATTTCACAAAAAAAGGCTAAAATTTGCCGGGTTTCTGTATTTATAAAGCTTTCTTCTAGGACTCCATCAGAAAAGCGCTCTCTACTGCTTCTTCTTTAAAAAACGAACTGTATATCTACATATCCTTTTCTTGCGAGGTACAGTGTGGCTAAATCCATTTCAGAAAGCGTCGCGTAAGCACTAGAAAACAGCAAGACCTCCACCTTCGTAATTCGACTCTGGCAAAAATGCTATTCATCGTCCGAAGTGAACGTCATCTAGAAGAAGCAATTTTGACTGTAGAAAAATGGCGAAAAATTAAAAGCCCCTTATACTAAGCATTGATTCTTATCAGAGGGGTTTCAGACTTCAAATTTGCACCACCAGAAGTCGACTTTCTACTGGCAACAAGGCAACAACACGTGCGAGAAGGTTTCCCTTTGTTAGCAACGTTTGATGATGAATGAGTTTTATAGCGAGATTACGACTGACAATAAGATCAAAAAAAAAAAGAACGAATCATGGAAGGACATTTAAGACGGGTAGCCCAACCCCAAAAAAATAATGCTACTGAAACTCACTGGTAGGACTTCAAACAACAGCTTTTCAATGAAAAATCAGAGAGTGTCTCAGAAAGAAAAAAAAATAGAAACTATGACTGAAACCGTCGGCATCCGCAACGATCAATACTTCATCCAATGATTGCGCATCCACAGTCAAAAGAGATATCTAAAAAAATATTAACAACTTTTGATTGTAAATGAATAGTCGCTTTGTGGCATTAACAAATTTTGATGCAAGTACACCTTACATTATCAAAGCCCACCAAATATCCCAAAAGAATCACAGTGCAAAACGCGCTTTCGCAACTCTTCAGATTCTGAACTACTAGGAACACCTTGGCACAACGTACGCTTGAATGTTGTTTCATGGAATCTCTAAGAAATTTTAAAAATGGCGCGGTCCACTTCACAAACATCTAAAACTCGCTCCACAATACTGCATTCACGTGCCCACAAACAACTCGCCATGACTGCAAGTACTGCAAAAGAGATATCCTCCCTAGCTCCCAAGGATAAACCACTTGCCCATAAAAACCCCAAATGCTTCCCTCAGGCCAAAGCATTTCATCCCAGCACCCTTAAAATTGTCACTTAATTATGTACCACAAAAAACTTTCCCAATTCCCGTATTTGCATACATAAGAATTCACGTCGTCCTAACCGAAAGCCAAACAAGAAAAAACAGGAAAAAAGTAGAACAGCAGGAGGTGAGAGGAAAATGTAATATGTAACCGACCTAACTTCACATTCAGTGGCTTATGTTAGGATGATGGTCAATGAACTAAGAGTCTCTTTTGAACGAATAAGACCAGCTTAAAAACTTTACTGCCCTTTGTAAAGCTACAAAAACTTACTAGAGCAAAAGGGAAAAATAATTGCACGCCCAAGAACTAGAAATCACACCAACCTTTGGAAACAGAAACATAACAAAATAGTCAAAATTAAGAAAAAATAAACTTTTGAAATCAAATAAGGCAAAATTTTAAACACCAATAACAAAATCCTTCCATCATATACATAACAGCAGTAAAACTTAGAAGAAACTTATTGAAGGGAAGCTAACTAAAGCAAGAAGACTGCATCATTATGTACAATTTTATTACAGATGCAAAAAGAAGTGCGGATGAAAGAAGTCAGCAACACAGCTGAAGATCTGTACGGAGAAAACATTTCATACTTTTTTGAAAACTTCTGATGACACAAGTACAGGTTCCAATTGCACAGCTCAATATCACAATATCTTGCGACTCTGTCTATGGCAACACGAAATAATTATTACAGCAAGAGATTGTAAAGCCAACAATGCAATACCACTATTACAAACATAAAAACCAAAATAAAGGAAATGCATTTCATAGGAGACTCAAAAAAAGCTTACACTTACAAGACAATTTATATATTTAATTCCTATAACATGAAAGCATATTATACTTTAAAATCATATGGCAAATGCGGAATTTTTGCTAATATCAGAAAAAAGTCAAAAACGAATGATTAAATAGCAAATATCAAATAAACAAATGAATAAGTAAACAAATAGATGAAAATAAGCACCAAACATTTGCAAAACTCATTCTGCTCTCTTCATAAAATGAAGAACATCTTTTTTTGTAATTATTCCCAGCAACCTTCCACTGTGAGTGACCAAAACCTGACGCAAGCCTAACTTACGAAACATGTCTATAACTGTTTCCATTGGTGTTTGATCAGTAACAGTCATTGGAGCCTAAAATTTTTAAAGTTCAGGATGAAAAAAGACAAGTCGCAGAAGATTACTAAATCTTTGGACCTACACCAAAAAAAAGTAGACTTACCAGGTCAATCAATTTTCGAAGACGCAGCGGGGCAGGAGAACCACCACGTTCTTCCGGCACAGAATTGCTAAAGTAAACCACAGAATTCGTCACAACGTAAGGCTGAGTCCTGCGCGCAGAATGTAGTGCAACTTGTATATCACGACTGAGAAAAACTATGGTGTAAGAGCGAAATAAGGTAAAAGGTAAAAAATGAGCTGCAAGTACTAAGAGCTGGCCATAATCAAAAAAGCGAATTGTAAAAACGAACCATAACAGAAAATTATCTTTAAAAAGCCAACATTGTTTGCTCAAATAATCAACATCCAAGCAAGAAAATAATTTTAAAAGGAGCTAACCGCGTGCAAAACCCGACAAGCGAATAATTCTCTTCACTAACGACCACTGGAAATCCGTTATAATCAGTTTCGCGCAAAAGCAGTTCTAGTTCGCCAACAGTCATAGAATCCTGAGTGATAACACGGAGATTACCTCCCTCTAAAAAGAAAAAAATATTACCAGCGTAGTCAAGAATACATGTTTTCCGCGTAAGTTACTTAAGCTGTTACCTGCTCCTGGTTTCATGACTTGCACTGCAAGAGTCGAGTAAGGATATTCTCCTTTATTGTCCAAGAAAGGATAACCATTAAGGTCGATGTGTGAGTCGTATATACCCTAAACCCACATACCAAACAAATCAGAACGAGTAGAAGCCAAAATTTAATTTGCGTTATTTTCTGAATAGACATTGGGAGAGAGATGAGACAAACGAAAACAATACGTACATTTTTTTCTCAACGAAACTAAATTCACTTAAAATTACCATTCTGTAAATTGCATCGCCAACCCATTTGGCAAACATTACGGCAACCATCGTTGGAACAATAAATTCTAGGCTTCCAGTTAGTTCAAACATTATTACAACAAGTGAAACTGTCATCCTAAATACATTATAAGGGAAAATAAAAAGCGCACTGTAATTGAAGTGTCACTATGAAGTCAGCTACAGAATTAGCTCTTCTTTTTTAAACCATTCCAGCTTCCAGGAAACCATGTATCAACAAACTAATTTATAACATAAGAAATATCTTAAAGAAAAAAAATACCTTGTTACTCCGCCCAAAACCGCTGCAGCTCCAACCATTGCATATAAGCCAGGCATCACACAGTTCTTCCCAACTTCACAAGACCACATACTGTTGTGTATACCGCTGCTCTTCTAAAAAACTGATGCAGAAATTCCACTGTAAAAAAAAAAAAAA